CAAGCAAGGGCACGTCCTACCAGTGCCCTTCATATTTTAACAATTATAATTCCCCATGCGATTGTGGCTCATTTGTCACCACTTAATAAAGATACTTCAGCTTCTGTTGAACCCTGGGGCTGTAGTTCACCACTTCAGGCCAATGTTTTCAGACATAGGACACCTGTTTTCAGAAACACTAAACGTGTGACTATAATCATTCTATTAATGATGCAATTCATTTCTATTGATTGCACTAATTTAAATAAAACCTATAAAAATGCCTGAACAAATCATAAGTAATATATTAATATATAAAAAATGTGAAACAACTGAATACTACTTGAATAACTCAATTGTATATTAATTGTGTAAAACAAACTACATTTATTATCCTACTAGCTATATGTAATAGGATATTCATCATATTTGACAGTGAATGTATTTGTTACTGTTCACAGTCTGGATGGTATGATTTCACACAACAGCTGTGTGAGAAGGGGGAAGAGATCCATCCTAAGGCAGCACAATGGGGCGATGATCTGTCATTACACACAACCCCTCGTTGCCCCTGTGCTGTGTAGCTTGCGGTATGATTATTCCCAAGGGTGTATGAAGTGGAGGCACTCAGTCAATATATTACCTTACGGACCAGAGTGGCCCTGGAGAACAGATTCATCACGCTGAAGACGCTGTCCTGTACATCTCCTTTATGTAAGCAACATGATTTCTCTCCATCCACGAACAGCCGCGAAATAGCCTTGTTACGCCTCGACTGTTCTGTCTCAGTGGAAGTTATAGACCACTGCACCCAATAACTATTTAGCACAACTGTATGTCTTTGGGTTTCAGTAGGACGACGGTGTGACATGGAAAGAACATGCAATCTCCATACACACACACACACACACACAAAGCTTGTGTGTTGAGGTGGTATTTCAACCCTCAACACTGGAGGTGTGATAGAAAGTGCTACCCACTGAACCAACAATAAGAAAGGTTATGCTAGCAGGGCATGAAGCAACAGATTTTTATACCATTAAATAACTGTAATTTTCAAATAGGTGTGATACGCTTATGCTTGCTGGCCAGCTGTCGTTGCTTCGCACAGATGGGAACTGGGAGCCAAACCGGCATATGATGCTACTGGTTAATGATCAGGCTAAATCCCTTTCCTTACCTTAGGCCTCGAGTCGTGGGGAATGACTGATGGGACAAGGCCGTGTTAAAGTCTGCAGGGATTCCTAGTTCAGGCTTCATGATAGAGTGAAAAATCTGGAGATCTGAGGAGTTTAGGCATCTGACCAGCTTGCCACCTGGTTAGATCCCAACAGGACTGTTCTGGGCAGGTCTCACTGGGCAGAAGTCCCAAGACAGACCCAGGATGTGATCTCCCAGCATACTTGAGAGTGCTTCGGAATCCCTAGAAGGAGCTGAAGTCTGTGGCTTTGGAGAACAAGATCTGAACTAACCTCCTAGGTGCAATCCCTCTTTTATTCTTACCAAGACAAGCAGAATGAAGATGGATGTTTGACATTTTTGAGTAGACAAAAACTGGCTTCATGTAATGTTTACGTAATTCTTTATTGCACCACCTTTGTGAAACACTAATTTGTTTTTATAATTTGAATCAGCAGTGATGTTTGGGAATGGGCTTGTTTACAGTGATGACAGATTAAAAGGCAGTGGACAGCTCAGACTAAGGCAGTAAGGGGTAGCACCCCGAACGGGGGCCTCCGAAACATAGAAACCAATCCAGCCAAATCACTTCAGAGGGGTACGCCCAGGGGGGCTCAGGAGGGGTGGAGGTTCAGTACTCAATCTGGATGGACACACAAATAATGACCCAAATCATCCGAATGTTGATCATGAATGCAAAATGTACACTTGGCAAGGTGTCCAAAACCCAGCGATACCTCATGAAATGCTCAAGGAGAGCAAGTGGAGAAATCCATCAATGAACACAGTCAGTATCAATAAAATGAAATGTCCCATTATTATTGCTTAAACTACATCTATCCAAATGCTAAATAGTGCCAGTATTACAGGAAACGCCTAAGGTATGTTTCCCTACCTCATTTCACACTGAGACTGATCACTCCTACAATACAAGGTCAAAACTTATCTGTGTGAATAGTATCAAAGCCAACTCATGCCACACAAACACCAATCTCAAGAAATATATAAATGTACAGTGGTACCTCAGAACTCAAAATTAATCCGTTCAGAACTGGGGTTCGAATCTGAAAAAGATTGAGTTCTGATCGAATTTTTCCCTTAAGAAATAATGGAAAACCAATTTCCAAAAAATTACACCTAAATATGTTTTTTTTTTTTTTTTTTTTTTTTAAGCATTTAAACATAAAACGAACAGGATAAAACAAGAAGAGCATATACTAAACACATCTATCAAAACAGTAATTTGTAAAGTAAGAAAATAAATGTATCCAAACAATGTGCAATGGCTACCAAAACGATATAAAGTACAGTGTATTACCTGATATTTTCAATAGAAAAAGCACTATCACCAACAAACGATACTATCACAGCGAATGCGAGGCTGAGACTGAAGTGTTACACTTTGTTTCCGCACGTACAAGTTATCTTAGGTCGGTGTTCGCGGTTTGACTTCTGAGATTCAGATCGAGTTCTAGGTAATTTTTTTTCAAACTGGTTGGTTTGACCATTAAGAAATTCAAGTTCTAATGAGTTCGAGTACTGAGGTACCACTGTATATTGTTTCCCTTTATAATACATACCTTTACCTTTACATTGAAATGTCTTAAGAACTATTAGAAAAAAACTGAATACAGTAGGTCAATTTATTTGAATTCTAAAACATGAAACAACTGAGTTTACTGAAGTACTATGAGGAAGTACTGTATACTTTTGGTGAAGACACTTTGGACCAACTCAAATTAGGCTGCACTCTCAGTCACTGGCCATGGCAGATTGTAGGGTATGAGGTTGCGGCCGTCTTTTCATTTAAAATTACTCCGTCTTTACCCCCTTCCTTGTGCTATGACCCTCTCCAGCACTCATAAACCACCTCATGTTCGAACACCCCGTCCTCTTCTAAGAGCAGCCTATAGTTCCTGTCTGATACCAGGACATTCCATATTCAGCAATTTTTTAGTTTCAAACTTTTAGCATTGATGTGTTTCAAAACTGGCAGTTTCAACTGAAAGCAAAAGTTTATGTGTGTTTGGTTGCTATGAGAGAAAATGAACATTGGAATAAATCACAAGGTTCACCTGTTTCAGTTTGACACTGCAAATTGCAATTCATGTAATTAATATGTTTGGCAGTTTGTGACCGTTGGTTAGAGTATTATGCCTCTTAAGATTTACACAAGGAGCATGTTGATATACATTAAGTTTATTGATGCCAGGGGGAAATTCTAGTGCATACAGCGGCAAGAACATATTGCACAGATGAACATACATATAGGGCCAAACAGTCAAGGTACAATGAGAGTAAACAAAGTAAACATAGTGTGAGCAGATTTCAGAAATTCACAGCACACCAGGGATGGCATGGTAGTGCAGGGGTTAGAGCTGATAGCTTGCACCTCTGGGGCCAGGGTTCGAGTGTCCGCCATGGCTCCACATGTGTGGCATTTGCGTGTTCTCTGGGTACTCCATCTCCCCCCAACAGTTAAAAAAAAAACATGGTGAGATTAATTAGAGTTACCAAATCACACTTAGGTGTGAGTGTGCCCTGTGGTGAGTTGGCACCCCATCCTGGGTTGTTCTCTGCCCTGTGCCCGTAGCCTCTGGGACAGGCTCTGGACCCCCGTGACCCTGAATAGGATAAGTGGTTGCAGAAAATGGATAGACAGCACACCAATAAAGGAAATACTCTGGAAAAACAGTAGGGGGTACTAAGAACAAGTAATGCTAATAATAATATGTGAAAATAATTAAATTTGTCAGTGTAATAATGTAATCCATTGTGATTACCAGAGCTTACTGTACACTACAGGACCAATCAGAGACAATTGTACTTGAACAATTGCACCGATTGCTTCAATAGATTAATTTTGTGCGAATACAATGGGAAATTGGAATTGAAATACATGGTAAGAGACAGCAACTGATATACATAAAAATCAACAGTATGTAAAGCCCAAACGACTCTGAGGAGTGGGGGAAACGGAAGGTAGATACCCTGCAGCCCAGAAGATGTGAATCTCCCTCCAGTCTGCTCTGCGACCCCCCTCAGTGATAAATTTCTGTTACAGTCTTAGTGATTTTTTTTTTGTGTCGCTGCAGTAACAAAACGAAAGATAGAGTGAAATATATGTTTACAATTAATTCTATGTGACGCCGGACATAGGTCGTTTTCGGTATTCTGTATTCGTCGCTAGACAATTTTCACTGCAATATCAGAAAATAGTATGAATATGGTATGGCTGCCAGTCATAACGACATTTAGGCATTGCACCATGATATGTGACACACCACTGATGGTTGTAGTACTAGTAATACCATACATCTATCCTTCTTCAGACTGCTTATCCATACTACTTTTTAATTTCTATAGTAACATGCTAAACGATATGAACGGACGGACCCCCGCACTGATAACTTTTTTTATTTGAAAATAACTTAAAGATATGAAACCCACGGTGACTTTTGTTAGTTTTTATATCACAGGTTTGCCAATTTTTACGCAACTGGCGTGAGGCTTCCAGACTCTCACGCTTACACAAAAAATCTTACGGCAAATCTATATTATTCTATTATAAACCTAAAATTAGCCACTTCAAAAGCGTTGGAGTATTTTGCAAACCTTACGGACCATTTACATGGTAATAAAACTGTTACCTGTAAGTCTGCATGCATCTCACTCCAGCCAGCTGATGAAGTTGGCAACCCTATAATTACCTTTTTATTTTGGCACGTCCTGCAGGTCCACATTTATGGGGTAGCCTTTACTCAAAGAGACACCCCATGTACTAAGCATCCAGAGAAATTGGATCATCAGCGACCCCTTGAGGTCCCTTTGCGAATGGCGGTTGAGTCCGTTGATGACGTCACAGAACGTGAGTTCGCGGCTGTCTTGGGCAAAGAAGCCGATTCTCTAACAACTAGGGAATCATGTCACGCAAATGTCATTAGTGCTACTATCTATTTTTAAGAAGCAACGAAAAGGTGTAAAAGGACTCGTAGTTTGATTTGCCTCAGTGGTCTAAAAATGGCTTCCTTATTTAAGAAGAAGACGGTAGATGGTGAGTGTGTTTTCAGCATGAAACGCTGCATATTAATTGTCTTTTTAATTATGCTTTTTACCTCCTATTAAAATGACGTGTTTCGTTCAGGTGCAATTTGTAGTACATTTATTGTCAGACAGCGATTTGACATAATTTACGTTTAACTAATATGAGGATCTGTATAATTAAACAGCATACGTGTTCGTTGAATATTGGCTCTTTATGGCCCATAAGTTTGTTTTGTAGTTTTTGTTTTTTTAAAGTATGAGCTATGAAATTACATTGCTGACAATCGGGCATCGGTGGCGATGTTGGTCTCATAGCGGCTTGTTATTTACGTCAAGAAGAATGTCTTGTTGTTCGTGTGATGGTTTTCATTGGAGTCCGGCAGGTTTCATAGCCGTTATTTATTAAAAATCAGTTCAAATCCAAGACAAAAAAAATCTCACATCCGATCATTTTAAGACGCGTAGGAAAGTTATAAACATGCCATAGTGACAATATCTTATTATTATTCTTGTAGTTTATATACTACTACTACTTCTAATAATAAAATAATAATAATAATAATAATAATAATAATAATAGAAATAGTAACCATAATAATGATCATAATAATCACCACTTTCACTACATTTTAAATACTGAAAACTCTGACACATTTCATAACCGATTTGTTCTAAACTGATGAAATCCTATGTAATGAACATTCAGTATTACCTTATATGTTTTCGAGCTCTTTATGTATACTGGCACTTCCATTGGCAGATGATTTCTGCAGTGGGAGGGTATAGGTCAGTGGGCTAGGGGTGCCAGTATTTGAAATGTCGCGGGTTCAAATTCCATGTCTGGTGGTGCAATCATATCGCTGTTGGGCCCTTGAGCAAGGTCCCTGAGCCTAACTGCTCCACGGACACGCTGTCCTGATCCCGTCCTCATACCTCATGCTTCCTTATATGTATGTGGTTTTGGACAAAGTTTGTAATTTAGATTCCGTCTGTATTAGGTATTTTGAGCAGGGTCAGACGTCCCTGAGGCAACCGTGATCAAGGCCTTTGTTCGAGGGCCCGATGGCAGCATCACACCATTAGTCATGGGATTTCGACCAGCAACCCACAGAGTCACACACCAGTGCCCAGGAAAAAGCATCTGCCAAAAAGCTTGATAATTTCTTTTGCGTTCTGCAGTACCCGCATGCCTACTGAGTCAATCTTGAACCCTCAGAGGTTTTTTTGGTTCCTCTCCTTCTGACATTTTTCCTTCTTCCTATTTTTCCGTGCACCACAAGCAATTTAGTATCTATGCTGTAATAATGTATCGCCGCACACTCCTGTTAAGTGCCTTGGGCATGCTATCAGACAGACAAGGTGACCTAAAATATTCTAGGCTGCAAGATACACAGTACAAAATGCAAGCCTGTGAAAAACATACAATGAGCAAGCTTTCAATTCATGAACACTGAAAACACCTGGAAGGTGAGCTTTTTCATCCTCACCATTTTCTTTTTGCAATTTCAGACCTTTTTAAATGAACCAAACTACTTGGTAAACTCTCAAGCAATCAAAATTAATCAAACTGAAAGACACCTGATACAATGTCAGAAAAAAGGTTATGATCCTCATACAGTTTTGTTCCCCAAGTTACAAACAACAATAATGTACTCCCAATGGTACAAGATGTTCCTCAGAGTCTATTTCTTTACCTTAAAAGGTGCATTTACCTACCGTTAGGGTACAGCTGGCAGACCCTTGAGGATAGAGCCTCAGTGACAAGTAATTGTATCCATAAAGGTACAAACTGGTACTTTAAGCACTGCTTAAAAACATACCTGGGGTCTAGTTCCCACTATTTATTTCTGGTGTATTTTAAAAAATCGGTGCTTTTAAAACATGCAACACATTCAGTATATTTGTCAGTCACATTAAAACAAAGATCAAGCCATCTGATGATTCATTGGTCCTTGATTATCAACAACATGCTTTGAGGTCTAGAAAACATTGTTTCTGATACAGACATCATCAAAGATCAGCATAAGGAGCTGCTGCGCACACAGAGACAGATCACCAGGGATCGAGGGGCACTGGAAAGACAGGAGAAGCAAATGGTGAGTGTGTAGTGTCATGGAGACAGATTCAGCTCAGTGCTGTGAATGTAAGTGCTTTTTACAATTTCACAATTGATGCTATCTGAAGCCAAAGATATAACTTAAGTTAAAATGACCATAAATAGAGAAATAAACGGGGCAGTGTGTAGTTCTCTCTGTTAGGGATCTGATACCTATGCCAGAACTGTTGTGGGTTCAAATCCAAAAGCCAGTGGTGTAGCCATATCACTGTTGGCCCTTAGGCCTAACTACTCCAGCGTACTGCCTAACTCTGCGTTTTGATTCTAAAATCTCCTCAATTTTACATATTAAATATTTTATAAAGTAATAGCTATTTTTTATTATGCAGGAATCTTGTCATGCTGAAAAAAAAAGATGACAACTTTTCCTGTGAATAGCAAAATAAAAATGTATTTATTAATTATTCAGTAAAACTTCTTATCTATCTGTCTATCCGTCTGTCTGTCTGTCTGTCTATTGATCGTATTTATTTTCATTTAACAATGAAAATAACTATGATGATGAGTGATTTTTTTATTCATGTGTTTTTCTGTCAGATTAATTAAATAATACAAATATTTCTACTGGAAGTTTGAGAATTAATGGACATCAGAACAGTTTTGCATAAACAGTATGAGTAATGGCTCGGCTGTTTTCATTTTATTATTTTTTTAGTTGCTTCTGACAGTTTCTAAATTTAATATCTGTTGGTCTATAATACAATTGTTATATCTTCATATGCTGTTTGATTGCATGCCTTGTGTACGTGTGGGTACTTGTGCATGCATACATTCTTGTTTTTGATTTAGGAACTTTTTTTGGCCTATATTTTGAAGTTGCATATATGTCCTCTTTGCTCAGTCCTGGAACATTCCCTGTGCCAAATTAAGTTGTGATGTGAGCATCATTACTCGTGATGAAAAGGCTTCTGTTACGCGTCTGATGTAGATGTAAAAATAGATGATGTACAATGCAGAAGTACAGTTCGCACATAAAGTCTCATCCATTTTGACACTGTTCTCCTAAGCATGTGAAAATCCGTATGTCCCTGTCCGCATTTATCAAGTACTTCATGATGCCAGCAGCCAATCTGTCACTCCCACTTCCATCTTCAGCCCAGCGTGTGTAGCTGACAGGACTGTAAATCATAATCAAACACTGCCATTTATTGCCTAATATTTCAGCCTTAGCACAAAATAATGTGAACCTGTATTTTTATGACTTACTGTGCTGCTTGGTGTATGTCGACTTAATTTGAATCCTCAGAAGAAATAGTGTAGCGCTAAGAAATGCATTTATTGGTGTCTGGAGAGGAGGTGTTACATTCTGATTTATGCATTTATTGGCTTGTTTAGCAAGAAGGGAAAAGCAGCTTCTGCCACAGCTCTTTGATTGATAATACTCACTGTAACCCAGGAAGAGAGAAACAATGTAAATAATCTTCCCAAACCTTTCCTGGGGGGGGACCCCCGCCCATTCTATTTGTTTGTTAAATTTCACCAATAGCTCATTTAATTAATCAACAAAATTAGTGAATTAACTACATGAGGTATTGATTACCCAAGCAAGGTGTACAAGTCAGTGACTTTAAGGTTTTGAAATGGCTAATTTGACACACTACAGAGATATAGTCGTAGTTTTATACCAACATAACCATAATTGAAATATTATTTCCCTTGGCTGGCTTAGAGTTTTGCACGTGCGCATGCAGACACACAGACACACACACACACAGGTTTGTAATTATATCTTTGTGGGGACTCTCCATTTATTTCTATGGGGAAACCTCTAATCCCAACATGACGACCTTAACCCCTACCCAGCCCTAACCTTACCCATATGTAACCAAACAAAATACAAGACTTTTGGCATTTTTATTTTCTTGATTGCATTCACAGATTATTGTGGGAACCTGAAAAATGTTCCCCACAATGTCAGAAAAACTTGGTCCTCACAATGTAATATAAACCTAATTCTCTCTCTCACACACACACACACACACACATATATATATAAGCAACAGATATGTGACTGTGAGGAATTTGGAAAGAAAAAGACAGACATTTTTTTGTGGCATTTCTCCTTTTTTGGGACTGAATCAAATGAACAACATGGGCACATCAGAACAATTTTCCTGGACACAAAAAAGATGCAGTTTCAACAGGGTCAGAACAAACAAACATCAATATGTCCATTAGCTTGACTTGGATCCAAGCGCATGAGAAACAAAAGAAAAACACACAAATATAAATAACCAGCGGAAAGATGGAGGAGGTGTGAGAGAAATTATGTGAACCTATGCAGTCGCCTGACTCACACGCCAGATTTGTACCCCACCCACATATGCTACTAACTTATTAGCTTTACAGTTAATCGACTGTCGGTTCTTTCTTCTGTGATGAAACCTTACGATATCTTGTCGGTTAGAAAGCACAGGTCTGTGCTAATGTTTTTCCAGGTCTGACCGACTACCACTCACACTTTTCTCACAGGAGCTAGAAATCAAGAAAATGGCCAAGACTGGTAACAGGGAGGCCTGCAAAATCCTCGCCAAGCAGCTGGTCCAACTGAGGAAGCAAAAGAACCGAACCTATGCTGTCAGTTCTAAGGTCACGTCCATGTCTACGCAGACCAAGGTCTTAAATTCTCAGATGAAGATGGCGGGAGTTATGTCCACAACAGCCAAAGTAAGAGACGGTATCCTTTTTCCTTACTTCCTATTCATCGATGTTTATTGACATGCAATGTCTGATTCTGGTTTTTTAGGGAAAATAGGAATGCCCTTACAGCGATCTGCTTCTAAAGAATTTAAAAGAGTTAAAGTAGTGGGATGTTTGATTGAATGGGAGATCTTTTTATAAGCATGCTTGGTTATTTTCCTTTATGGGGAGAGGATCGTAATTTACACAAAAACAAACTTGAGATGACCTTAGTACTGTGCTGCCATCTGCGTAAGTTTACAAACACAAGAAAGTCATTTTCAGCCATCAACATCTGCAGTCACAGCGAGATACTGAAGAAAGCCTCCGAGATTATTTTTACTCAGCGTTCTGTTCATAGCACAAGCCACATTCTTGTTCTTTGATTAGTGCTTTGTAGTAATGGCAAGAAGGGGCCTTTGGAAGATTGAAACGATTGAACCAATGAACAACTGAGCCTTGCTAAAACATTGTTTCATTGCGACATCTAGTGGCCAAGTAGCACTCCATGGAAACCAAGGCACTGTGGCAGCATAGAAACCTTCGAAAACAGTATGCAGGTGACTTTATGCATAGGTGGCACCTCTGGGACATGGGTTCGAATCTCCATCAGGGTTCCATGTATGTGTAGTTTGCATGTTTTCCCCATGTCATTCCCAGTACTACGGTTTCCCCCCACAGTCCAAAGACATGCTGAGGCTAATTGTTGTTAGCAAATTGGCCGTAGGTGTGCATGTGTGAGTGACTAGTGTGTGTGAGTGTGCCCTGCGATGGTTTGGTGCCCCACCCTGGGTTGTTTCCCACCTTGTGCCCATAGCCTCCGGAATAGGCTCTGGACCCCCAGTGACTCTGATTAGATCAGTGGTTTCAGAAAATGGATAAATGGAGGTAACTTTATTAAAGGCATATTCTGGCACTGATGTGATTTCATCAATTTCAGCAGAATCTGTTGATTATTTCATAAGCCTACATTTGTCAGAACCGTTAAAGGTTTGTTTTTATTGATTTTTTTATTTTTATTTATTTATTTATTTATTTATTTATTTATTATTATTTTTTTACTTGGTTTATAATTTAATATGATTCATAGGGATTTGTAGGGCGAGTGCTTGTGCACTGAGCTTGTGTAATGTTATCTTTAAGGAAGACCATCTGTTCAGCTGTCTTTGGAGTGAGTCTATTTCTCCTCTTGCTCAAAATCCCTCCAGCTTTAAAGAACAGTCACTCACAAGGCACTGAGGTTGCTGGAAGGGAGAGACATGTTTCTGTTAACTGACAGAAAGGCTGAAACATTGCAGAAATCTAGGGGGTCACTTCCAGGGTGTAGGGGATACAGCTGAACCTCAGCATCAGCAAAGAAACTGAATTGCTTTCGCTGACTCTGCCATAAAAATAATCCAAGAGCCTTTCTTCAGTATCTCGCTGTAATTGCAGATACTGATGGCTGAAAATGACTTTCTTGTGTTTGCAAACTTACGCAGATGGCAGCACAGTACTAGGGTGACCATTCGTCCGGACTGTCTGGACTGCTGTTCGGTGTGTTGTCCTTCTTTCAGCCCCCTTGTCCTCCTTTTCCCCTCCCCCCTACCCAGCTCCTTGTCAACAACAAGTGCTACACTGGCCAATGGTGTGCTTGAAATTATTTTTTATAGCATAATCTCGAGAGAACGAGATAAATATCTGGACAGATACGCCATTCTCAGCTTCCATAATATGTGTATAATATACCTCCGCCTAATATACCTAATATATAACACCTTTTTATGGGTGTCCTTCTTTTTGAGCCTAAGTGATATACATTTTTGAGGTGAACCTCTTTTTTCCATTGCCAGTTCCACATTGGCTTGATTGGAGACAGCAAGAACCTGAACACACTGACTGTTTCATTAGCAGCACTGTTTAATGCAGTTGTGTTGGTCCTGAGCGCGGCTACGGTTGCTACCACTGCTACAAGCTGCTGATACAAGTGCTGGAATATTAAAAAGGTGCCATTACATTTGGATTAAATTTTTTGGATAAGTTTCATTTTGGATTTTCCCATCTGCTCTTGGATTTTTGAGAGCTGTTGCTTTGCCGTGCTGCCACAGTAGATATGGCCAAATTAAGCTTTATGAACCATTTGCTGTATTTTTTTTGGCGCCTCTACATTGTGCTGTTAGTTTGCTTTGGGGCATGCTTTGAGCACTTTTTGAACAGAGAGCGCCATCTAGTGGGATCAAAGAATACAGCAAATGGTTCATGAAGCTTTATTTGGCCATCAGTACCGCTACACCTGAAGTAGTAAACTATATGCTGAGGCTGCAGGTATATTTCATGCAAATCAGAGGTTTGATGCTTTTGCTGTTGAGGGTTGATGGTGGCTTTTTTCACCACCATTCGTTATGTGAAAAAACAAGGCATGTGGCATTTTTGTAAAAGCTGCACACAAGCAATAATATTGGGAGCATTGTAGTGATCAAATGAAGCTTCTTGAGCCATTCGCTGTATTATCTGACTCCACAAGATGGTGCTTTCTGTTCAAAAAAGGGCTCAAAGCAAATCAAGAGCACCATCTAGTGGGGTCAAGGAATACAGCAAATGGTTCATGAAGCTTCATTTGACCATAACTAGGGCCAAGACATCTGACCTTCTCCTTTATTTCCCTTGCAACTAGAAGAACTCTTTTGGATGAACGGTAAATCCCCTAAAGTATACTGTTCAATTTCCTTTTATATACATACATTATGGTCTAATTTTTTCCTTTTTCCCCTCCCTTGCCCCTGCCTACCACGTACACACACAACACGCACCATTCTAGGTGACCAAACACTAGACATGGTTGTAACACTATTATATGATCAGCTGTGTGTCTCTCAGGGAATTTTGATACCCCAGGAAAGTGGTGCATAGTTTATTTTGATTGTCAGTTAGACGGCCTGTCGCTGCTAAGTAAAGCATCCGTGTTAACTGAGGGCGACACGTACGGAGTCACACGGCTTTTGCTTTCATCACCTCTATCGTTACCGTGTCCTTGCTCTGTTGGTATTGAGAACGGACTGTGATCTTGGGGGCATTTCTGGATTGAAGGGTATAATTGGGGTGACATTTTTGGAAATGGTTATGAGTCCTTTACAATGGGTCTCACAAGAGCCTGATCTATCTCTTTTTGCCTTTCTGTCAGGAAACAATAAAAAATCAAATATTAAAACAAAATAATCGTGACTTTTCCTGAGCAATTTCGAAGTATGGCAGATCTGTGCTGTTTCCAGCTCCTTTCATTATATAAATACTGTATGTTCACGAGAAATAAATGAACAGAGTAGCAGACAGTGTGACGTGTCTGAGGTGCTGTGCGAACTAGCTTGCTATATCCAGGGTTTGACTAATTACACTCTCCTTCAGACTATGCAGACAGTCAATAAGAAAATGGACCCAAGAAAGACCTTGCAGACAATGCAGGAGTTCCAGAAAGAAAACCAGAAGATGGAGATGACAGAAGAAATGAGTAAGAATCTGTGATTCTGATAGAGACTGTTAGAGTACTGCATCTACACAGCCAGGAAGGGCAGCATGCTTCGAATGCCTGTGTACTAATATGTCCTCGTCCACTTGCCAATATGTTTGATATATTTTTGAGATCATAATGAAGGATTAACTACAAAGGACTAGTAACTATAGGCCACAGTATCTATTGTGATTCTGTTGATGTTTCTATAAGAATATAGTCTCAATAGCTAATGATATTATGGATTTTGATAATGATTTTGTCATTTTTTTTTTTTAGTCAATAATACCCTGGATGAGATTTTTGATGAGTCCAGTGATGAAGAGGAATCTCAGGAGATTGTGAACCAAGTGCTGGATGAAATTGGAATCGAGATCTCAGGAAAGGTGAGAGGACCTTTTCCTCTGTTCCACCATTTTCTTAGATGCTAATTTATGACTTTCTGTCAGCATTTTGCTCTCTTGCTTTTAGGTTGTTGTTCAGATCCATAGTCCAATCTAGACTTTTTTGTGGACCCAGCTGATTCTTGGTATTTGATAGAAATGACAGATTTAGTTATGAGACCTGGCGAGTATCTGCAGTCTGTCACAAAGTAACAAAAGGATATTCATTGCATTAAGCCCATTTGAGCTGCACTATTTCTGGATCAGCACAAACTACTATTCCTACCTTAGCAATGAAGCCCAGTGACGATGTAGTGAAAAGTAGTTCTTCGCAGTAGAGTCTTTGGTTCTAGCTCCTGTTGGAGTGTTTTTTAGAGACAAAATACAAAAAATAAGGTAAATACCTCTTCTAAAGGTTTTTCATAATTGTTTAAGCAAAATCCTTGAATGTCAGTATTTGCGTAATTATTATCCGTATTTGCGTAATTATTATCCGTATTTGCGTAATTATTATGCATTATTTGTAACCCCCCACATCAACATTACATTTATTCACAGCATTGTAAGCATTTCCTATTGCGATCAAACAAAAGGAAGCATATTATCAGATTTCAAGTTGTGTAGCTGTTGGCCTTATCTTATGGGGGTGATCTTATCAGTATCAATAAGAAATGAGTTAAAGAAACACATCTTCAGGATCATCAGACTGACACTATTCTTTAGCATTTTTATGGTCGTGGTTTAAGCAAGAATAACAGGATATTTAAATTCATGACATAGTGTTGAATTGACGTGATCTTTAAACATTTTGAATAAGTTATGGACTTTTGCAGGTGAAATTGTGGCTAAACATGACAAAAACTGCAATGAGCACCATTCAAAAAGCTTACCATTTATTTTCTACAGCTGGCAAGAGCTCCCTCTGCTGGGCACAGCGTTCCACTTCCCTCTACTTCCAATGTACTTTCAGATGAGGATATCGAGAGGCAGCTGAAGACCCTTGGAATGGACTAATTAACGTCACATGCCCAAGTCACTTCTTGGTGACTAAGTGTGGAGTGTAAAATCTAATTGATTGTTTTTGCTTCAGGGACCTAATTTTTTTTAATTTTTTATCTTTTTTTAGGTTTCCTCAACATATTGACTCATGATAGTTATCTAAAAACTTTCCTAACTACATGGAAAACTACTTTTTTTTTTTTTTTTTTGCCTGTTTACTCAGGCAAAGATGTTTGATGCTCAGAAAAAGGGAACTGGAATTACAGAAATTTGGAATGGAGTTCATTGTACTCTGTGTAACACGTACAGATTAACCGTGTCCAAGTGGTTCTTCCTCCAAGTGGTGGGTTATTATAGAGGGAGACATGAATCATGTTCAATTGGATTTTTTTTTATTGGAGATCTGGAATTCCAGTTATGCATTTTCAAATTTGAATAGTCTTATACCAGACTGCATGAATACAAAATAGGTTAGGATTATACTGTAGATATAATTTTGGTCCATGGGGACTGGGGTATTTTATTTAATAAAATGTCTGGGACCCTTCCTATGAAGGCTGGTGAACTTTTGTGGATATCATTTTTGTTTAGTTATATATGCTGTATACATTTCTATCAGCACCACTGAAAAATATTTAACTTTACTATGCAGTTCCCAGTGATTACTGTAGCACTGTATAGTGAAAGAAACACCGGTATATTTTTACTGTGACTAGGACTGTGACTGACACTGGAAGTGGAAGAAATAACAAGAAGAATTTAAACACCTTTTTCTGTTTCAGTATGTACATGCAGATGCACACACTTAAATTTCATAGTTAATTATTAAACTAAATTTGGGCAAATAAAAAGTACCATTTTTATGAACCCTATTTTCATATTGCTGGATATCACAAAATATAAATCCACCAGGAACCTAAAACAAGCATGACAGGTGGCATATCTTACCTAAAAATAATGCACTTTTCCAGAGGAAAAAAAAGTCTTATGGGAAGATCTGACCCTTGACCAGTCTGCCTGTGTCAACAATACCAGCGATGATATTGCGAAGACAAGGTTAAGTACAGCACATCGAAAAGACTGAGACTATTTATTGCAGGCTAAATCATTGCTGTTGCTCTGTTATCATAAAAAATGGCAGAAACATTTGATAAAAAGAAGACAATTGATCTAAGGCATAAGTATATTGGGTAAGAGTTTGTTTACATAATATATAAAATCTCGTCAGATTATGTCACTTGATTGGTTGTCTAGTAAACATAGTAAATGTAAAAGTGTACTTACTATGTCTTTGATAGCTTAAATAAAAAGCAGTTAAATTATCATACTTTTTTTTAACCGGAAGATATATACTGTATTCCTAAATGAAACATTTCTATGAAATTTGTGTATACCTAGGTTAACGTGTACTCATGTAAGATATTCCAAAAACTAAAAAATATTATTATTTACAGAAAACTATGTAGTTGCAATTGTTTATACAAATACACATATTGAAATTGCAAAAAGTAGTGCACTGAGGACTCAGATTTATCTAGTCCACAGTAGGTAAAAATTAGTAGAAAATAATAATTATTAATGAGAAAAATGACCAGTTAATATTGGTTGGCTGTATACTGCAGACATAAAACAAAAAAAAATATTAATTTGATTCTGCTAACTTGATTTCACACAGAACATTCACAGTGCCTCATTCTTATGTGAAATCCCCACTATTCTATACATCGTATTTTAGTCGTCCAGGAATATGGTTTGTGTTTCTAAACTAGAATAAATGCTTATACAATACAATTGTTACAAAAGGAAATTCCTGTAAAACAAATAATTTAATCAAATTTCTTCAGAAAGAAAGCTTTTAAAAGAAACTGCCCCTAAACAAATTTGCTCTAAAAATGTGCAAGGTGAAAGATAAAAAGCTAGAGGGGAAAAATATACCATTTCTGTGATGTTTTGTTGAATCAAACACTGAAGTGTGTTTATTATTGCATGTATTTTAATATTCCCACCATGGGGAGATTTATGATGGTAAGTATGTGATGGTGAGTAAGAAAGTACAAATCAAGTTGGGCTATATTGGATATGCATTTCCAGGGGAATTGTTCAACATTTTTATTTACATGTTTGTTTTTATGCAGGGGGGTGTTCTACGAAGCAGGATTTCTTGCTTAGCCAGACAACTTGTGAGAATTAAGGTAGTCTGGGCTAAATGTAGGTGAACGATGATGAAGCCCATTTAGCCCAGACTACCTTAAATCCAACAAGTTATCCAGCTAAGCAAGAAATCCTGGTTGACCACTTAGCATACAACTGGCATTTAATCACTACTTGATTGTGATTAAACGGTTTCACCAAACTTTTTCAAATGGTTGATATGGTAGTTAGCATATTATATAATTCACCTTAGCTGTACGGCCTTATCATTTACCTTTCATGAACCAGTTTATCAGCTTGCTACAGTACTCTCTGTGTGAAACAACCTGCATGTTACATCACAGGTCCAAACTGTAGCATTTGACTTGGCTATTTGAAGACCTCAAGGTTACTGCAATACATTTTAAGTCAGTGTTTTATGAATAGCCACAAGTATGACTAAAATTTCCCATTAGAATAATAGATAATAATAATATTACTAAGTGTACAAATTCACTTAAATATAAAAAGATCGATTCTGCTAGTATATTATTTGAGTATGAAACAGATGCTAACGTCAGCCCAATTTTTTAGCCCTTCCTGTAAGGTTTTCTTTGGCCAAGACCCCATCAAGATCGTTCGTGCCAAAGGCCAGTACATGTACGATGAAAGAGGAGAGAGGTATTTGGACTGCATTAACAATGTCGCCCATGGTGAGCAAAACCTAGCGCAAATTGTATTCTCTTAGTGGAGGCTGGACATCCCTTAATATTAATGCTCAGTGATGAGCACTGACTGAAATTGAGCTGAGTCCAGTTTTTGCGTTTTGCAAAATTATTTTATCCATAGATTTAAAAAATGAATTACTCTTTTGAGTTAAAAAATAAAAGCTGTCAAGGTATTTTACAATAATTTGTTTGTGTCTTGACTAAATAGTTTCAATATAGTTTTATATTATTTTATCAATGTATAACATCTGTGATGCATTTATAAGAAAGATCATGTTCGTCAAAGGGAGGTGGTTGGCATTTTGTATACATTTTCATTGCTACATATTTTATATAAAAAAAACTGCAAAACCGGGTTCTCACCACATATGTTAAAAGTTACCCTCTTCTCAAAAACAGAAACTTCAGTAGAGATTCACCAAAAATACAGAACAGGGAGTAAAACATCTGGCATGTTATGTGATATGTAGCATTTTTCAAATGTGAGTTTTACAGTTTTCACTGCTTGTGGCGTTTTTGCCAGTAAATCAATGTCCTTTGGATTATAAAAACTTGCGTTGTGTTATTCCTGTAGTTGGCCACTGTCACCCAGACGTGGTAAAGGCTGGGGCCATGCAGATGGAGATCCTGAACACCAACTCACGTTTCCTGCATGATAACTTGGTAGAATACGCCCAACGCCTTCAGGCCACCCTGCCAGACAGCCTCTCCGTTTGCTATTTTGTCAATTCAGGGTACAGATCTGTCTTCAGATGTGCTAACTTGATTTCAAATATTTACACTTCAGTTTTTTCAGTACATCGTCCAATACATTTTCCAATCCACCATATAGCCCAGCCATGCATGGTCAAGATGGAACATTAACGCTAATTTCAGATGTTAACCTCAACAGCTCCTTGAAAGCACCACAGATTGGGAATTAAGCTTATAAACATATACAGTGACTTTATCAATATGGATTTTACTCAAAGGGATATTCAAGATCTATGAAAAAAAAATATATTCCCATTTCCCATAAGAAAGCAAAGGCTTTTATCCGTTTGAAAAATGATTTATGTCAAAAATTCCTGAACTGAAAATATAATAGAGTGTACTTAAAATTGACAAACAATACACTTAAAATGTACTAACATTACATTAAATTACTACTACATTATGTTGCTCTCCAGGGCTGAAGTATGAAGGCTTAAACTCATGATAAAAATATATAATTAATGCTGATATTCATGTTACTCTTAAGATGTCTAAGTAACTAACAATATCATTGTAAAAACAAGGCAAAGGTCATCAATAGAGGTCAACAGGCATAGAGTAAAAGACAGAGCACTAACTTCATAAATGATACTGATCATTCAATGCTGAAACATTGCAGCTGTAGACTCCTGTTCAGAAGGATACTTTGTACCACTGACCTACTTGCTAGGAAATGTATAACTGGTATGCATTTCTCCTGCAGCTCCGAAGCCAATGACCTGGCCTTGAGGCTGGCTTGGCAGTACACTGGCCACAAAGGCATCATCACTTTGGACCAGTAAGTCAACAGTGCTTTTATTTCACACAGCACATAATCAACAAAAAAGCCAATGTCCATTTGTGTGGGGGGGGGGGGGTGACTATTCAAGGTCTCCCTCTGTCATTTTTTAGTTAGACTATGTGAAACATTAGATGCAAAGCTAGACTTTTATCAAAGACTGAGTTGAGAGTCATGAACATTTAGAGTTGGTTGTTGAACATACAACTCAGGGAATAAGTTAACTGGGATCCTGTAACATTTAGTTAGTGATGTATTCATTCAAAGTGACTTTTAACCCCTTTTTATACCCCATACACCAGGATGGCTTACTGATTAAGTTCTTTATCAGTGGTACCATTACAGAGCCCCTTGTCTGCCTAGTATAATGTATAATATGTGATGCTGCACAGGTTGTTTTTTTTCCAGTGCCTACCATGGTCATGTGTCATCCCTCATTGACATCAGCCCATATAAGTTTCACCAGATGACAGGGTCACAGCACAGCCAATTAGTTTATGTGGTAAGGAGGCAAATGTTGCTGTTGAGTGTACAGATAGTTTCAAAGGTACCACAAAAATGGTTCAAGTTCATATCATTATTATAGCTATTAAACAGACAATAATATATGACTCATTTATATGAGTAATTAGAGAGAATGCATAACTTTACAATATGGTATATAGTATAGTAGCAATATAATACTGTTTATAAAAACTGAAGTAATGTCCTCAAGGCTCCCAGCCCTGATATCTATCGAGGGAAGCACCGTGAAGATCACCCTGACGCTGCTACCGCCTACTCAGACGAGGTGGAGAACATCATTCAGGACGCCCATAAGAAAGGGCAGAAGGTACGTCCCCTGCTGAGCCTGAGGAATGAAGGAGCTCCCCTTCTCCTGAATGAGTGTCATTAGGTATAAATGGAACTCAAAGTCCACTTTCCCCCCAAAGACAAACCAGAAACATAGTTTCTCAACATCTGTCGTGTCAGGGCTTCTTCCCCATTCTGTGCAGGCCTTTATTATAATTATAAATTATTATATTATATTATAAGGATAAGTGGTTTGGAAAATGGATGGATGGATATTATTATTATTATAAAGTGTTTTGTATTAAAGGATCAGAAGGAACTTTGTAAAACCAAGAAAGAATAATAGTCCCCTTCCATAAGAAGACTTTTGTAAAGTCAGCTGATTATTATGTATCCCATAAAGAATCACAGTATCTTTCCCTGAGCTTTAAGTTCTGTTAAACTAATAAGTGAAGTTTGTACTTTATTTGTGCGATTTATCCTAGGATCCCAGTTTGAGTAAATGATTTGTTATCATGTTTGTCACAATAACCTGAAGTTAAAAGCAGCTCTGCAATAAGTACCATAGATTCCTTTGATTTTCACATCATTACTATCAATATGAAAGCTGCAAGTTGTGCATGAAATTGTGCATTTTATTATCACAAGGCGTATTATTTACCTGCTTACGTCATTTTTCATAGAACAGTCATTGTCTACAGTCCTTCTAAATGTAGTCCTTGCTATTGTAAGCCTCACTCACACAGTATGCGGTTTTGTAGATTGCAGCTTTCATCGCCGAGTCCTTGCAGAGCTGTGGAGGGCAGGTCATCCCACCTCAAGGATACTTCCAGAAAGTGGCACAGTATGACTGGTTTTCTATTCCTTTTACATATGATTTGTTTGTTCCTTACAGCTTTAAGGTGATTATTCAATGTGTAAAACAGGACTACGACCTGATTGTGTTTTTATTTCAAATGCAAAAAAATGATATATATTTCTTTATGAAACATTTGACATGCTCATCTATATCATATCTGTGCAATCTATTGCAGTTAAAGCACATTCCATAGCTTGTGTAGCACTAGGTAAGGGTCCCACATGGAAATCCCTCTCTCACATATTCTGTCACCATACCCCCTTCCTTCCTTAGACATGTGCGGACGGCAGGGGGTATCTTCATTGCAGACGAAATACAGGTGGGCTTCGGCCGTGCAGGAACCCACTTCTGGGCATTCCAGCTACAGGGCAAAGATTTTGTACCTGATATTGTAACCATGGGGAAGCCCATCGGCAATGGCCACCCAATGGCGTGCGTCATCACCACCAGGAAAATCGCTGAAGCCTTTATGTCCTCTGGGATGGAGTATTTCAACACGGTGGGTCTGTGCTTAAACCAGTAGCTTATTTGACTTAAATTGCAAGCTATGAAAATAATAAATTTACTAAATTTCAAACATGCTGCAGTTTGGAGGCAATCCTGTTTCCTGTGCTATTGGACTGGCTGTTCTTGATGTCATTGAGAAAGAGGCTCTTCAGAGCAATGCTGCGCGAGTCGGGAGGTACCTGGCAGAGCTGTTGCGTCAACAGAAAGAGAAGCACCCACTGATTGGAGACGTCAGGTAAACAGAGCTGGTAATCACCAACGTACACATCACAGAGCTGGTAATCACCAACGTACACATCACAGAGCTGGTAATCACCAACGTACACATCACAGAGCTGGTAATCACCAACGTACACATCACACACAGATCTGATTTGTCACATATATCCATATTAAGAAGTAGCTAAGTATTTACCAGAGTAGTGTGTGCCACTCAAAAAGACATTAATACCAAATAATTTATGAAGAGTTTGATAATCAGTTGATTAATGTCTTTGTAACTAGGGATTCATTTTCTGATCATGCTACTTCAAGTTGTGAAGTTTACTCATAAGACTCAACCAATTTAATTTACTTTAGAGCCCCATATACTTGTTATACTTTTCTATTACTACATTATATTTGCTGGAAGATGTGGAAAAATCTTAAAATAGTCCCAAAATAAGCAATTCCTGTTTCTTAGAAGATGAACTGGAAGATCATTGTTGATGAAGAACTGTATGAAGAGTTCATAGTCCAAGGTTTGGCATTATACAAATAGTCTTGCTTTGCATTTGCCTGCAGGGGGGTGGGTTTGTTTGTTGGCGCTGAGCTTGTGAAAGACAGATCGAAGCGGACTCCAGCTACAGCAGAGGCCCAAGATGTCATTTACAAGTGAGCCCCATAACTTATTCAAATAATAAGTCAAAAAGGATTATTCAGTATTTTACACAATACCTTTCTGTGCACCTACTTATATATTTAAAGATAAACAGATGCTAGCTGGTTTTGAAAGTAAGCTATTCATCTTGGCAGGTTGAAGGAACATCGAATCCTTCTTAGTGCTGATGGTCCAGACAGGAATGTTCTGAAGTTCAAACCACCCATGTGCTTCTCTGAAGAAAATGCCAAGTTTGCTGTGGACAGGATCGATGAGATCCTTACTGGTATATTTGTTTAACGTATAATATTAAACATATATAAAATGTTGCCATTTTTGCTTCTACGTTGGGGCAAAATGGTCCCTTAGTGAGTAGCAGTGTTTCCTCACGCCTACACTCCACGTATTTGGAGTTTTCGAGGTCTTTTCGTGTTCCATAGGTGGCCTACAGGTAACTCTAATTTGTCCCCATAGCCCAAAGACAGGCAGCAATTGGCATCGCTAAATTTCCCATAGTGTGTGACTGTGAGTTACCTGCAATGGACTGGCATTCTGTCCAGGGCAGCCCTGAGCCTTATGCCCAGTGCTATCGGAGATACTCCAGGCTACCATACGACTCTGGTTTGGAAGATGAATCAATGGCTTATATTTCATGTGTAGTACCTTGCCCAAGAGTGCAAGATTGTTCCTTTCTTCCAGGATTTAAACCGTGTCGATCAGGCAAACTATTTAATATAAGGTAAAGAATAAAATACTAGCATTTTTTGACTTCTTGTTTTTTAGACATTGAAAAAACCTTGGGGCTGCCGGTACCCAGCAATGCGGGATGTGCAAATCACAACTCATGTCATGGGGTAAGCCAAGAAATGTGCATATCAAATGCATAACTTTCTGATGTGTTTGCTCTAGTTCTGCATTCCTAACATTAATCAAACATCATCGAACTGTAAAGCATGTGGTCCAGAATGAGCTGAATACAATGTAGGTGGAACTCCTTCTCATTCCATCTTGGTAGGATTATTTGATACCAATAAAATCTACATTCTAAAGGATATAAGTGAAAATACAGAAAAGTCACTTACTGTCACAACTTTAAAGTGAAACAAGCTACTTTTTAAAATAAGTTAATTGTTTCCCCCCCAGGTATTATGTGACAAAACTGTGCAAAAACAACATGGAAACAGAAACAGCCATTTGAACGGGGTCGACAGCTAGGTGGAAACGAAGTCACGAGATTTTTCCGATAAAAAGACTACAACGCTAAACCCAGACCAGATTTTTAAATAACCAGGAATGTGGACATTAATTATAAAGGGTGGCTTGTGACAATGTTCAATAAAAATGTCATTTAAGGTCGTCATGTTAGGATTAGAGGTCTCCCCATAGAAATGAATGGAGAGTCCCCACAAAGATATAATTACAAACCTGTGTGTGTTAGGGGGGTAATTGGGGAGGAATAAAGGAGAACAGTGGGGGGTGATTGAAAGGTGTGGGGTCTAGGTCAGAACAATGGGGGCTAATGACTGGACATGCCAAACAGCAATTCAGCAAAAGGTCACAGCAGATCAAAGCGGCCAGTTTGTCAGATGTCAGATCAAACAGGTTGTGTCAGAAACCGAAGCTCTTAGATGACATTAATGTTCTATGCCATTGTATTGTATTTTATCATCTTTGATATATGTAAGATAGTAGTGAGCTCAAGTGCTGCTATACAGCAGGTTTTCCATTCTAGCTGATAACGACATACAGGCCCAGCCCTGTCCATCACCGATAGAGAAATGCTTACCGGTACGTCTGGATGGCCTGAAATTCTGCACAGTGCGCAGGGTCCATCTGCTCAAGATGTCCAGCCTACCACCTTCATCTTACACAGACAGTATTCAAGATGAAGTACCATCCGTCTACGTCCAGCACCCTCTTGTACAGACCACATGATGTTAAATGATATTAAAAGTGAATAGAGATTTAAGAGATGTTAACAGAATGATCAAGTGAATGAATGAATGAATGAAAGGCAAGCTTAAGCACAGCACAACAGGCATGTAAAGAAAAGTTGGTGTGAGCAGTAAGTTCTTTATGTAATTATCCTACTATTGCAGACAAGCAGACAGGACATGCAGACTAGTGCAGCCTAGACCACCAGCACCAAAGACTGTAAGGCTAACATTCAGCTTAGCTGCTTACCTTAACCCACTCCAGCATGGATTTTTAGGGCTAACAAAGATGAATAATAATAACAACATCAATAAATATGCAGTTCATATGTTTGTATAATATACATTTGGCAGATTTCTATGCACGTAACATTATTTCATTTATTCAAAGATATATTTAGACAGACCTGATATCTCAGCCTCCACTGTACAGACCAGGAGGTCTGCATCTGAGGGCTCTGACAAACACGAATGGAAAATATCTGAGTATATAAGTCTGAATAAAAGAACACTGGAGTTGTTAGATCTGCATGTACTATATTTAAAGCTGACCAGGGGCTGTGGTGGGCATCTCCTTAGAGGAGCCTGGAATGGCAGGGGGAGCTCGGAGGGCACAGAGCTGGGCAGTTGCCCGCTGTGCATCCCTCCTCTGGATGTACGTCTTCAGCACATCCATTTTGGTCCCTTGTACGGCTGCTCCCTAATTCACCGGACATAGCTGGATGACGGACAGGGTACCAGAGAGGGAGGGGGGGTGCACTGAATCATCAGTCATTATCACTAACGATTACAACCATTACTAGGTTAGCGGAACTGAATCTGTTCAGCCTTGAGCAAAGGAGACTAAGGGGGGATATGATTCAGGTCTATAAGATTCCAACAGGTCTGGATGCTGTTCAGCCAAATGACTATTTCAATATTAGTCTAAATACTAGAACTCGTGGCCATAAGTGGAAATTAGCGGGAGAACATTTTAAAACAAATTTGAGGAAGCACTTCTTTACACAGCGTGTAGTCAGAGTATGGAATAGTCTTCCTGCTATTGTAGTGGAAGCTAAAACCATGGGTTCCTTTAAATCAGAGCTAGATAAGATTTTAACAACTCTGAGCTATTAGCTAAGTTCTCCCCAAACGAGCTTGATGGGCCGAATGGCCTCCTCTCGTTTGTAAATTTCTTATGTTCTTATGTACTACAAGCACATTTAGCAGGCTACTACTAAGAGTGAGTGCTCACGTCCTATGCATGAACTTTAAATAACTGCACAGACCACAACATATAATCAAAAACAGAGACCTCCTCTTCTCCCTGTCCTTGGACTCATGCAGCTCCTTATGGGTGCAATGCTTGTTCGCAGCAAATCCCACAAGACCCTTGTGTGATGGAGCTTCCAGCTGCCTCCGCTGCCTTATGGCCTCGCTCATTTTGAGGAAGGAGCTGACATACCTATCTGTGTAAATCAAATAGGGGATCGTTTAACATGGTACTTTTGTATTGATGTAGGTGAGATGTGGTGATGTTGTGCCATGTGGTTTAATTACTTACCTGAGGAAGACCTATTGCTTATTGCTCATTATTGGAGTCTTGCTCAGGTTGCCAGATTCCCTCTCCGTCTGACGCCCGGCCAGGATTATGGCAGCATAGCCGACTTCATTGGACAGCAGCCACTTGAAGGTTGTCCCTTAGTATTGGCCAGTCTGGATAGCACACTCGCTTGTTACCAGCTGGTGATCCTAGGGGTCTCCGCCTTCAGCCACCATTTCAGCCAATCATGCCGGGCCAGTCTCCTCAACTGGCCAATAGAGAGCTGAAACAACCGCTACATTCGCTTCACTTTAACCCAAAGATCGCCCAGCCAGAGGTGCAAGGATGACACACAAATTCGTGAAGTGTTCCATATTTTCTGTGGTTTTCCAAGTCGCCAACTCAATCAGTCAAACTGCATGCAAGGATAGATGCATCATATGGAAAATCCCTAAATGAAACAATAGAAATACTTCTCTTGGAATGGATGTTAGGAGTAAACCTGCTCATTGTAGATGACTGGAATGGTGAGACAAATATAAAGTGTGTGAAATTCTTTCAGCAGTAATTGAGCCCAGTGTACAGTAAGTATCTCATGGTTATAAGTGAAAAGGAGAGAAATATTGGACAACGATGTTGGCTTTAATGTAATTGACCTCCGCCTGAAATGAAACCAAACCCAAAACCCTATGAACCAACAGTGTTAACCATGCTACTCTTGTAAAGATGGCAACTCACCACTGCAGTCAGCCGGCAAAATCTAACAGAGCTGCTACACCCCATCCATCGCTGGTAGTCAGGGTACCCCCCTCTCCACACAGAGTACTGAGTACCCCCCTCTCCACACAGAGTACTGGGTACCCCACTCTCCACACAGAGTACTGGGTACCCCCCTCTCCACACA